GCTCTAGGGACCTAAAAGAAAACATAAATGGTCTTTGAATGCATTTTGCTTGGTTATGCTCAGAGTTTAGTGTGACACACACACCTTTTGGGCAGTGGTGAAGCCTGACAGAGCAGCTATTAATAATTAGAATTAATTGTGCACTTCCAAGAAGAGAGGGAATAGTTACACAAATGACTTTAAGAAAAGGCACAGAAGGGTGTTCTGCTGCTGTTGGAACTAGAAAATAAAAACTGCTTCTAGGGTAGTCAAATGCTTCACTTTAACACTGATCTTTGTGGAAACAGCTGAGAAAGTGGTAGGTGTGGATTAGAATTTAAAAAAAAACCCAACAAACACTCAACCATTAACGGCCCAAGGATCACAAGATCCACAAAGTGCTGATCTGTGCAAAAATTACTCCTTTTCCTTGGCTAAGGAAGATGCATCCAAAGAGATTTTCTGGCTCTGCCTTGGGAAGGTGAATTGTGACACTCTCAAAGGTGTTTTGGTGTGTCTGTGTGGGAATGAGCTGTAAATGATGCATAACTCCAGAGAGTTGAGCAACTCCAGAGAGGGGAAAAATGAAGGATTTAGGAGGTGATGGCAGGAGGATTAGTAAAAGGAATGTGAGTGCTCCAAAGGACAGGACAGGATGGATGAATATGAAGATCCCAATACTGGAAATAAAGGCATTGATCATAGTCCTCTTCCCATGGGCTGCTGTTACAGGCTCCAAAACCTGGTGTCGCTCACAATATGACACAATTTGTGCCTCACAGATGGAATGTGCCATGTTCTTTCTGGTTTTCATGTCTTTATTTGCAAAGCAGCTGCCTTCTGCTGTTCAGCTTATCTAGTGCTTCCCTCCATTTCCACATTTACTCTTAAAAATGGTTCTGTTAAACCTCTCCTTTGCCATGTCTGTAATTAAAAAAAAAACAAAACAAAGGGAGGGGAAATCCCTGTCACATCATTTCTGAACTGGCACATTCCTCCCAAAGGCTGGGCTTTCAGGGACTCTGCTCTTGTGAACTCTTTTAAACCTTCTTGTGTGAAATAAGGAGCTCCCTGGGTTTTGGGGGTGTGTGGATGGATTGAGCGAGACAGCAGAGGTTGTTACTGCCTTTATTTGCCTTGTCTCCTTGGGTTGAGCTGAAGAGCTGGGCTGGCTGCTGAAAGGCAGCAAAGCAAACAATCTGGGCAATAATTGCTTTGGCTCTCTGACTTTCTCCTCTGTTGAGGCAGAGGAGAAGTTTATGTGACCTTGGGGATGATTTCTGGCAGTGCTGGGAAGGCAGTACTTGGGTGAGGAGGCTCCCTGCTCTCCCCTTTGGTGAGACATCCATCCAGACACATAATACTGGTTTATTTTCTGCTTAGGAATGAGAGTAAGAGCCACAAATATCCCTTAGTCACTGAAAAGCATGAGCTGACATTTAAATTCCCTCCATAACAACATGTTCTTTCAAAGCCTCTTCGAAGGAGTTTGTTGAGAGCTCTTTAAATTCCTGAACCACTGCTGACTAATAAATGAATATAAATTATCTCTGAAACAGGTTCATTTAACTCTTGTCTAATGTGTAGCATTTGGCCTGTCAGAGTCAAAATACTGTGACTTGGTTTTGTGTGGCAAATTGAGCACTTTGTTTATTAAAATTGCTGATTTGTTGTATAATGAGGAGGGCCCACATTTCTGTTCCTTTCCACAGTAAGGATTTAAAGGGCAGGTCATCGTTGTTCTCCAGCAGCAAAATATTTTTGATTATGTGTTCATCTTGTGTAATACATTTCCTAGATGTTATTAGCAAGGTTTTAGAATTATTAACTTGCATTTATGCTTCACACAGAGAGAATTTGGCTTGTTAAATTCTGTATCTGAATACAGACAAATATGTCTATAAGTGATGTAGATTGCTAATAGTTTCTCATATAAAACTGGAGCATAAAAATGGGTTTGTGTTGTGCAGCTGAACCCTGCATCATGTAATATTCAACATTTTTTTTTAACTCTGAGCTTAATTGAAGCTGCAGCTCTGCACTTTCTTCATGCCTGACTTAAGGCATCCAGCAATGTCTGTGTTTTGCTGGCATATAATTTGTTTTTTTGTAGAAGCTTCCACATAGAAGGTGGAATTGCCACTTTGCCAAAGGTTTAGTAAATAATGATGGAAATAATACACAATTTTACTAATTTCCTCTGATACTGGGGGGGTCACAGGCTGGCTGTGCTTCTCCTCCTCCTCAGGTGGCTTTTCCCTTTCCTTCAGCAGAGTTGGGAGTTGGATGTTGTTGCTAATTGCAGATGATGTAGCACTGACATTTTGGGAAGTATAGAGAGATGATGCTGCTGTCTTCAGAGATACTGCTACACTTCTGCTGGCATTGACTCATTTAGTGATGAATTGCAGTAATAGCAGTTCAGGACCTACAGCACATTAGTGAAAATGAATCCACTGAGCACCAGTCCCAGGGCACTACAACAGCACTTAAAGAGCACTGATTTCCTTAAAGGGAGAAAAATCTGATTAAGGATTTTAGCTGTACCTTTGTTTTCTGGGTTTGTAAATTATTTTTTTAACCAGCAGTGTGTTACTTGTATTTGTTTCTTGCAGTGTGTTGTTCTAAGGAATTTAATATACATAAGAAAACCAGGAGAGGTCCATAAACACAGAACATTTCTTCCTGCTTTAGCAGATGGAAGACTCTTGTATTTTATAATAAACAGAGATGGAGCAGTAGCACTGCTTTAATTTCTTGGTATTAGCTGACCTAACACTTGTTATAACAGGAAAAAAGACCAACATGCTGAAATGGAGAAGACACGTAATAATTTACCCAGTGCTGGGTGTCAGTGGCAAAAATGTCGAATGAATGCAGCAATTGGAAAGAATTATTCTAATAAAAGGATGGGGCAGCCTATTATTGAAAGAGTTGTCTAATTTGAGGGGAATGGGGATAAAGACAAGCTTCATGTTAATGATGTGTTGGTGCTTTGCAGGAGAACAGAGTGTTCTCCCAGCTCTGGAGTGTGATCAGGGGAGAACAGCAATGGCCTGAGCATAATCTCCTCTGTGCAGCCTCCTTTAAAATCACCCAGCAGCTAGGAAATTAGGGATCTGGGATGCAAGGATTCCTAGAACAGGAGAAAATATGCAAGTTTGCATCTCCTTTCTTTTCCCTCCTTCCCCATCTTGACACCCTTCCTGCCCAGCACGGAGGGGGCATGTTTGGGTCGTGTCTGGAGCGTATGCAGGAGCAGCTGGAAGTGGTTCCAAGTACCCAGGAGTGCTAATAGATAGGCTCTTTTCAGTCAAATGTAGTCTTGTAGACTCTAATGCATAAGTCTGTGTGTCTAAGAGGCTGTAGAGATTTTCTGAACTGGGGTTTATGGATAGTTTCACTATTTTAGGGCTAATACAGCTTTGCCAGGTTGACATTATTTGAAGACGGTCATTGAGAGTTTTGTGCCAAGGGCATGCCCCTAATGTTGGCTACATTAAATAGCTCTGCTTCTGTCAGGGCAGTAAAAAAAATAGGTATTTGCTGCACCTGTTGCTGTGCTATCTTTGGGAAGAGATAAAAAACAGCTGTATAATTGTCTGGAGGAAGCAGAGGTATTTATAGCAGGTGACTTTGGGGGTGGGTGTTCCTGCACACAGGGTTCTCGGGGATCAGGTGATGAGTTGTGATGAAGAAAGAGTTTTTCTGTATTTTGGGATTTGACACGCTGCTTGACACTTCTGTCCAAATCTCCTGCAGTTTCTGCAAGTTAAGAAAGGCAGGGGAATTATTCTGAATAATAATTTTAAAAAATTGAACCATAGAGTCGTTCAGGTTGGAAAAGACCTTTAAGATCATGGAGCCCGTGTGGCTTTCAGCTACATCAAGAGACTCCCTAGTCTGAAGATCCAGGACTTGATAAAGTGCTGATATAGATAATTGATATTGATATAGATAATACTGTAAAATTAACTAAAAGCACTAAGGCTGTGTTGACAGCAGTGTCCAACAGCTGAGAGGACTTTTCAATGACAAACGCTTTTAGTTTTTAGGATTAACGTGATTTGTACATTCCTAAAGAAAGAGTTAAATTAAAGACGTACCTTTCTGGCTCAAATGAAAACATGGGCTGCTTCAAGAGGCACAGGCTGCTGGGTTCTTAATTTTAAAATCCTGATTTCTTCTGACAAATTGTGATTTAATTGCAGAAGTATTTAAAAGCACCCAAACAGTGCACATACATTTTGAGGTGTGTTCATTGAATAAAGATGAGGGAACTAAGGTGAGTCAGTCTGCAAAATGCTTGTTAAGGTTATGTAATAGAGGGATTGAACTGTCCAGGCAAACACTAAAGGTTGTACTGAGTTACAGTATTTATTTAATGCCTTATAGGTTGATTTAAATAATGAAAGATAGGGATAAACACAATTTTCTTTCCTTCTGCTTGAGTTTATTGTGTTGAGCTGTGTGAATGCTGTAAAAAATGCTTTGATATTCAAAGTTTTCATTTCATTTCCTTCTGAAAGAAATACCATGAAAAATTCAGAAGGTGAGAGTAAACCAGACAAGATTCATATGCCATTAATGGAATTATATTAAGAGTTGTAATTATATCCCTTAATCTTAAAAAGGTAAGTCTCTTACAGAATTAAGGTTTTTCTGCTGCTTTTCATGCCGTGTGAGGAATTATGGTTAATGCAAGTTGCTGATGTGAAAGCATCCTCACTAATCCTGTTTGGAGAGCGGCTCGTTCTGTGCTCCAAGGAAAAGGTGTAAGATGTATTATAGGCCCTTCGTTAAATAATTACTTAATTAGATCCCAGGACAAGCAGATACCAATCTGTGAATAGTGCTGGCAGGTTTCCCTAGGATTGGCCTCTAAAAAGCAGCAAAACTTCACGTGGGAAGCACCACGTGTGCGGCGATGGGTGCGTGTTGACGTCAGCAAGTTGAAGGGCAGGATTATTAGAAAAGACATTTTAAATCAGCTTAAACTCACGCGAAAAGCTCCTACTCACCCTTCTCTGTGAGCTTCTCCTTTCTCGAGCTCCTGTATAACACCCAACAACACCTTTATGGTTTCCTGACTGGAGCTGATCAAGCTTTCCATCATCTGAAGCTGCGCTTTCAAGTCCACAACTTCGGTGTGAGGCACGATTTGTTGGCATTCCTCGCTCAGGGCCACGGCCGCCTGGCAGGGCCGGCCCTCCTCCACGGGCGAGACGTTGACCTGCAGGGGCTGGTCATTACATTCGGTGGCCGGGCACCGCGCCCGCGCCGCGCACGCCCCGGCATCGCCCGCCGCGGGCTGGACACCGTTCAGGTGCACCGTCCTCCTCCTGTCCTCCTCGGCACACGGCGACCAGTCGCCGAGGTTGGGCAGGTCGGGCTGCGAGGCCGGCAGGTAAACGGTGGCCACCTCAGTCTTGAAGACCCTCCCGTGGTGGAGGGGCTGGGCGGCCTCCTCGCCGCTCAGCCGCGCCGCCGCCGCTCTCCCCCGGCTGGGCGGCCGCGCGGGCTCGTCCTCGGCGGGGTCGGCCAAGTTCGGGAGGGGAGGAGGAGGCGGCTCTTTGGGAGAACTGTGCAAATCGCTGCTTTTCCAGGCCTCGGCGCCGTCGTCGTGCGCGCCCGCGTTGGCGCGCTCCGAGACGTGGGAGATGAACTCGGCCGTCTGCAGGCTGCCGGCCTTCCTGCCCCACGGAACGGCCTCCGCCGAGCCCCGGCCCTCCCTGTCCTTCACATCGATCAGAAACCCGTTGTTCTCGCCCTGCAAGGTGTCCACGGTCGAGGCGCTTTTAAGAATATTCCCTTTTTTCCGGTCCAGAGGGAAGGTCTGGTAGCACTTTTTGAGATCGGGGGAAGTCTGAACTCCTGTGCTCTTGGTGACGTTGGGGATGGACCTGCGGGCGGGCACCGTCATGTACTTGCGATACGCCGTCTTGTAGGCGATGGCCTTGGCGTCCCTCTTGTCGGGGTCCTGCGTGCTGGCGGTGGAGGTGGAGAGCTGCTTGTCCCTCTGCTCGTTCTGGGCCTCGCAGATATCCTTAAACCTCACCTGCAGGGCTTTGTTCCGTTTCTTGATCTGCCGGTTGGGATCCAGCGCGTATTTCATCTCCAAGGCCAGGGAAGCCGCTGGCTCGACGTCACTGTCCGAGGCGGTGAGTAAGCATTTGCTGGGCTCCTTACTCACCATGATGCCTGCAGCCAAAAACAGTGCAAAAAGCCTCATATTACAACACAAATGCTAATTTCCCCCCTCAGGTTTGCAATATTTGGGCTGCTTTCCTACTTTTTCCCCTCAGGTTTGCAGTTTTTGGGCTACTTTTGTCTGATGCACCTGAAATGGCTGCCGCTCGCAACCGATGTGCTTGGCTCTGTAAAGTCATAGTTCTTCGTGTTAGATTTTGGTTTTTCTGGAGAATTCTGATTTTTATCTTGGTTTGTGAACACCTTCTCCTCAAAGGGGAGGATTCCTGGCAGCAGGAGCTTTTCCAGACCCCTTTTCAGAGGACAGGGATCATGGCTGCTCACTCAGCACTCGTGCTTCCCTGCAAATCAGTTCATGCTCCCAGTCCCTGAATTCACCTGACAGTTAATCAAAACTCCAGGGAAAATGAAAAACAAGTGTCTTTGTGCAAGTAAAGAAAACTCTAGAGCTCTGACCAGCCTTAATTCTCCTTTAGTGCAAATGTTTAGTAGCAAGAAGTGTCACACTGGCATTATTTTTTACACTGGGCTGGCTTACCAAACACGTTCTCCTGTCTGATGTATTCAGTGTCTTGGCAAGAAATTAATTGGTCATTAGAGGTGTTGTGATTTGGATTTTTATAAAAATTTACCTCATAGCCAAACCTAAATATAATCTAAATATAGGTTAATTATTGTTAGCAACTGGTTGGTGCTGCTGGATGCGTAGAATTTATGAACTAGGGAAGTTTGTGGAAGAAGTCAGCAGTGCATCAATTAAGGGTTTGCTTCAAATGCAAACCAACTCATCCTTTCCTTGAGTCAGTAAATGCCTTTATGATACAGCTGCTTATCCCAAAGGATCCTAAAGCACTAAAAAAACCCCTCCAAACCTGTGATGATTTGCAGAAATTACTTAATCTGCCATTGAAATATAAACACCTCCTCAAGGACGAGAAGATGCCAAACCCCCCCCACCAAAACCCAACAGCTCTGTGGTTGTTCAGATCACAAGGGAATCTGTAGAAGCAGGATAGTTAAGATCTCATTTTTACACCTCATTTGAAGTTGTCATTTTTACTCTCCTATTGCACAAATTTCTCCCTGAGACTTGCTGAATTACCAAATTCCCACTTAATCCAAATATTCTGCATGTATCTCCTACTTAACCACAGACGGACCCTCAGAGGGACTCGGAGTACGATGTAAAATGAGTAAAGGGACTTTCAGGTGTATTTAAAATAAGTTTTTAATTAAAATTCCTTTGTCTATTAAATAAAATATGTGGAACTCTTGAAGAGTTAAGTGCCACGATAGCATATGTTTTATAAAGCACAGGGGAGTCAATCCTTATGACTGGTCTATATTTAGTTTTAATTTAAGAAAGCATAATGGGGAAATTATTTTCAGTGGAAAATTGAATGTTTATGAGTTTTAAAAGCAATAATAACACTTCCCTAAAGATATTAAGATACGAGATGTGCACGGTTGGATGTCTGGGTCAAAAGATCTCATGCAAAGGTGTCATTACTTAATTTTTTTCTTAACCTTTTAATTCCCTGGTCCCAGTAATTTTTGAACAGGTAACTGAAATATTCTAGAATCCACCTAGTTTGCCTTTCTGTGTGACTTGTGAGGCTCAGGTAGAGGTGAATGAGCTGCACTTGTTTGAGGAGGGGAAGTTTCTGTCTGTCTCTGTGTGATGTAGTGGAGAGTCTGTAGAAGAAAGCAAAAGGAAGGAAAATGCAGGACAAAAACGTTCAAATAATGGATTTTGAGGTTGCCAGACTAGTTTTCCTCTAGACATGTTATATATACAGGCCTAGTAGCTGATACCAAAGTGACCAAGCCCCTGTTTTTGGGGAAAAGAGTGAAAAATGGGACTTCTAGGGGGAAGCCTGAACATTAAATTGAAGTAGAGTTATCCTTTTGTGCTGGGCTGGGGGGAAAGATCAGTTATCCCTGTGCCTTTAATACATGATATACAAATACAGACAGATTTTGAAGGGAAAAAATTAACTATATATGAATGTCAGGAATTTTTTGTTCCTGTTGAAACCATAACTCAGGAGCTTTGTTAGAGTCCTGTACTGGCTGTGTTAGGCTGTATTTTAATTATAAACTCGTTTGTGAGTGAAGTTATGGTTTTATTTGAGAGAAATTTTGCAAACAGAGCCCCACTGGGTCACAGCTTCCAAAGATGGGGATGGTAGGAAATACATCCATCCATCCATCCATCCATCCATCCATCCATCCATCCATCCATCCATCCATCCATCCATCCATCCATCCATCCATCTACCTAGAGTGGAGTTTTTGGAATGTTTTAGTGAAGACAGTGCCGTGTAAGATACAAACCTGATCTTGCAATTGGACACACGTGAGCTTTAGACACTAAAATATGTTGTAAAAACTACTGTCAAGCCCCAAAACTCTGCATTTCCAGTCACGTAGAACTACTGGAAGCCAATGTTCCAAAATGGTCTGGTAAATTAATGAGTTTACCAAAAACTAAATACAGGAACATAAAAGCCATTAGTGTTCAAATCTGCTAATGTGAGTTCCTGCACTACCAAAAAATTGCAGCAAAAATGAAATGCTGCATTTACAGAGATGTGAAATCCTCCGTAATTGCTTCTGAAAAGAGAACACATGTTTTTACCCAAAAAAAGGCTTAAAAAAATTGACTCTTAGCTCTGAAAGTCACCCATTACAGCCATCTCTGAGGATACCTCAGAGTTGTCAAAGTGAGTTTTCAGGCACTTGGTTATTTGACAGCAGGATCCGTTAACGTGCACTTTATTTTCAAGTATTGGCTTGATATTTCATGAGTGTCTCTGCCCTGTCTCAACTTCCAGGTTATTTCACTACCCCTTTAATCCCGTCATTTTTGGGGCTGCAGGATCACTGGGTTTGTTTGGAATGACTTAACATGGAGTCCCTAACCCAGATAAAACCAGGAGCCCGGTGCTGTTCTCCGGAGTAGATAAACAGGGAACTGTATTCTGCAGTTAATTTTAAGCATGTCTTTAATAGCCAATAAATTGATTCCTCACAAAATTGCTTGTCTCCCTTTCCCAATCTCCCAGGCCTGATTGGTTTGGCTGATCTGGAGTTTTCCCACCAGTAGCTTGGAGTAATAATTTCATAGATATCTGTGATTAAGAATGACAACAACCAAAAGAACTCGATTTTTTTCTAAGCCTCGCTCGGCTCCCGGTGTCTCCAAGGGGAACTCTCTGGGCTCAGCTGATAAAAGAACAGCTGAGCAAAGAGTGGATAGTGAGTTAAACACCTCACAGGGAAGGGTTTATATAATACCTCCTGTTTGGTTTCAGTTTTGGGTTGGACGAGGTGTTGCCTCCAATTTTGAGTTACTTAAAGCGTCGTCTCCGCAGGATTTTTGGATACTTTCGGATACTGAGTTTCTCAGTTTGCGTGAGCACAGACTTTGTGGCTCTCTCTGTCAAGCTTTGAATTTGAATTTTAGTTTCAGATGCCAATTACATACACATAGTAGATTTCAACTGTTTGTCTGTAGTTACTCCCAACAAACCCCGATTTGCTCAACTAAATATTTAAGTTATCACACAGCTTACTTTTTCCGTTTTTAGCTTTGATTTGTTTATAAACTTCTGGCTGATTACCCTTAAGGAGTGTTCCCCTATGTTTGAATATGGAAATAAACTATTAAATAATAATAATAATAATAATAATAATAATAATAATAATAATAATAATAATAATAATAATAATAATAATAATAATAATAATAAAGTGATGCACAGAGAAGCCTTAAGTTAGTATAAAATCTTCAGGGGAATTATGGAAACCAACAGTCCTGTTCCAGGGTGTGTCAGCAGGTAAAGTTTAGGTACAAATCTTTGCAGGACCTTCACTCTGCATCCAAAACTCTGCAAAGTCACTGTCCTGGGAGGGGGAATTACAGTGTGGAATTTCCAGACTGGTTAGTTAACGAAGGAAGAAGAGATTTGGAGCTCTTATTATATTATTAAATGTGATTTACATTTTATTTCTGTCAGTTTTATGCTCCAGAAGCAGACTCACAATGTGTTAATACAGACTGGACCTAAACTTTGCACGTTCCAAATGCAGATGGAAGGCACAGATTCCATGTATTCCTTGTGTTCTCAGACCAAATGAAGGCTTTGGAGATGCAGCTGAAAACAACTGTGCACATGTTAAGAGCACACAGGATTTTGTGTATGGCTGTAATAGCTTAAAATCATGCAAAGGGTTGCAAATAATTGGCCTTTTCCGTGTGAAGGAAGTGATCTGCAACATCTTTGGGCTCCTGAGTATATCCAGGTTGTGCTTCCTTGTGAGAGATCCCTGCTGCCTCACTTGGAATTTTTATATGCCTAAATACTACCAGAAAATGCTTGTTTTTCAAAAATCTGTAAGTCTTGTTAGTGTATACATAGAATATCATACAATTCTATTGTTAAAAATAAAGATTTGAAAGAAACTTAGATTTACTTCAGATAAATAAATACAATATGTTAATTCTAAATATCCCATTCATTTTGACTCCATTAAATTAGGAGTCTTTTCATTATTTAAAAAAAAAATCTTAAAAATCATATAGTATTATCCTAAATATTAATAAGCAATGTCCAGTAACAAGATAAAAATACTGGAAAAGATGAATTAGCTTTTAATTATTAGTTGTTTGCAGAAAGTTTGCCTGTGCTACAAAGTTTTATGGATTTTTAATACATAAGGACTGAGGATAAATTATGTCTTGCAGATAAATTCAGGGGTGCAGGTGTGCCCAGTTTTTGTGGGGTAAAAAGTACTGCTGACTCTTATTAGGAAAAGTGACGTGGTGGAGCAGCCTGTCATCATTTTGTCACAGAATTGTTCATGTAGAATAACAGAGTTTGCAGTCCTGCTAAATGTCAAACTAGTATTTTTTTAACTCCGTTTGGAAACCCCGAGGCACCAAACTTGAATTTTCTCTCTCTTGAACCTCCTTATTTATTGCTCAC